ATTCTTGTGGGTTTTTTTTTCCTGTTTTCCCTGAAGTGAACATATCCATTCCATCCAGATTGTTTGCTGACCAAAAAAAAAAAAAAAAAAAAAAAGCCTGGAAATTCACCTGACTCTAGCTCTTGGAATGGCTCTAACAGTAGTGAAAATGAGGTGTGTGTTCAGTGGGTGAATTGGGTGTCCAAGCAAATGCTAGAGTGCTGTGGCGCATTGCAGTTTTCTCCAGTGACAGCAGATACTGTGCTCTTTAAAAAAATTTTTTTGATACAGGGTCTCACTCTGTCATCCAGGCTGGGGTGCAGTGGCACTATCTCAGCTCATTGCAACCTCCACTTCCCAGGCTCAAACAATTCTCCCACCTCAGTCTCCTCACTGCAAGCATGCACTGCCACACCCAGCTAATATTTGTATTTTTTATAGAGAGAGGGTTTCAACATGTAGCCCAGGCTAGTCATGAAGATACTGTGCTCTTTACTGAATTGCTTAAATGCCCTTTCTGGAAGAAGAGATTAACAGGTCCCATATTCATCATGTGCTGGTGATTTTTGGGGAAGAGCTTTTTTTTACAATGTTATTCTTTTTTTTTTTTTTTTTGGTCTATCCTGTTTGAAACTGTTCACCTCTCTTTTATAGCTAACAAGGCATGAAATCAGATAAACAGGTAGAGGCTTCCTAAATGCTACTTTCAAGACTGCTCACTTGAATTTTAAATATATGTGTCCAGATGTTTTGCTTCTGTTTTTGGGTATAATTATAAATTAGTCATGGTTTCATGCATATTTAAAAATTATTTTAATGACAAACTTTCTTTTTGTTCTCGGTCTGGCCACTGCAATGAAATGGTGTAGAATAAGCCAATTCTTCTGCCTTTGCTCAGTGATTAAGGCAAATGTCAATGGATTTCAACACATCTGATGTATTGTTTGCAGGCTCTTCCACACGGGTAGTTCAGGCAAGAGGCCACACAGTTGTGTGTGCATCCAATACCAGTGTGCAATAAAGGGAAGCTGCAATGAAGTGTGCCAGCCTAGTTATGGGTTCATTAATGCAGGTTCCAATTAGATGTGTGATTTATCTACTCAATTCCTACTCCTCAATTCCTTGGTCCCCTAGGCCAAGAGCTCTGGGTGAGGGAATGATGAGAGGAACCAGTCTTATTCATCTATCCAGTCCCTGACACAGGTGATCAACAAATGTTCATTGCATGAAGGAACAGATGTATTGAGCATTTTCTGTAGGCTCTTGTTAATTGAAATATATGTGACCACAATAGATAATGCAAGAGCCTTGAAGGAAGACACAGGGGTGAGATGCAGTATCTTGAGATCCATTGTCACTCATGGTGATTCAATTATAGAGTTAAAGGGCAGATGGTCTGGGAGAGCAGTAAGTATAGATATTAGACCAGGATGTCAACCTGCTAATAGCCAGGGTTGATAAGTCTGGAGATGAAGATAGGCAAGTATTTGAGTTTAGTTTTAAACCCTAGCTCTGTCATTTACCAGCTGAGTAATCTTGGACAAGTTATATAACCTTACTAGGTCTTACTTTTCTTATCTGTAAAATAAATAGAAGAATGAATTAATTTATGAAAAAAACTTAGGAGCTCATTAGTTTTACCTATTGTTGTTCTTGTCTGGGCAGTCACTAAGACACAGGGTCCAAAGAGATTTAAAAAAAAAATTCTGCTCTCAATTCTAACAAGTGGTCCCAAAGCAGTAGCAGCTCTAGGAACGGCAGGTAGACCAGCAGTATCTGGAAGCCTTCCCAGGACTCAGGGCTCCAGGCAAGAGGAGGGTATGCTTCAGGCCTCCCAGAAGGCCTGGGACACCTGTTGGTTGTTGCTGTAGAAAACAAAACAGAAACAAGGTCTATGAACCAATATGTACCATGAGGTGAAGAGGGAAGTTTCAAGAATCTGATTAGAGAAGGCCAGTTACTGCTGAGTGGGGCGTTGGGCGGGGGGGGGGGGGCGGGGGGGTGGCGCATCAAACACCACACAGGTGTTTAGATCTGAGTCCCAGGACAGTGGAGCAAGGATCTGAGAGTGAAATGCAAGATCCCATCATTTTGTACCATTGCATGTGTAGAACCTTATGCCTAAAGGTTCTGTGTTGTGGAAATATTACATACTAACTCTATTCCTTGATTAGAGATTCCCAGCATACAGTAATGTAGTAATGTAGGCTTTGAGAAGTCCTATAGTAAAACAAACAAACAAAAAAACCAACTTAACTTTGTTTAACCCGGGATTCTCTTTGTGTAACATCTATTAACATTACAACAAAACACCTTAGGAAATACTTATTTAAAGATTCCTTACCTAAATCAGGATTCATTCATTCATTCAATATGTAAATCCTTACTGAGTGCTTACTATGTGTGAGGCACTGTTGTAGGTACTGAGGATACAGTAGGGAAAAAAGACTGACCAAGCCTCCCACTTTGCAGAGCTCACCTTCTAATGTGGGGAGAAAAATAAATAAATATAACATGAGATGATAAACGTGCTTAAATGCTATGAAGACCAGTGATGCAGAAAAGCAGGAGTAGGAACAGAGAGTGAGCAGTGTGTGTGTACGTGTATGTGTCAGTGTCCAGGAGGGCTCTGTTTCAGATGGGGTTCTCAGGGAAGTCCTTTCAGCTTTGACTAGGTGATGTTTGAGCAGGGACCCTAATGATGTGAGGAATATTGGCTTTGAGCTAGAACCAAACTTTCTCTCAGGGGTGGATATCTGCGGACCCAGCCAAACAGGAATTACAGAATCAGGGGAGATTGGGCTGACATGATTGATAAAGAACCCTGACTCCTGGTCATTTCTGTTAAATGTATTATTAAGTCTTTATAGAGGTCCAAAATAATCTTGATTTCTAATCCTGTTTTTCTTTCGTTCAGTCCAAATTACTGACTATACCCCATGCGCTAGGTACTATGTAGACACGGAGTTGGGGGTGGACACTTTATTCCTTTCCTTGGGGAATTTAGAGTCTGGTACGCAAGACAGATATGTAAGCGAGTACCTGCAACACAGAAACATATGCCAAAAGAGAAATGCAGACGTAACACAGAGAGAGGGAGAAGTAAGACTTTCTGGGAAGGAAGCGTGGCGAAGACCCTTGGGGAAAGGCTTCACAAATACTGGAGAGGGATTTTGAAAGATGATTAGAAATTTATCTTAAGGAAAATGAAGCTGTTGAAGAAAAGGATGTTTACAGTGTGTGCAAGGTTCCAAACACCTGAAATCGCATGGAGGATTCTGTTTGGATTATTTTCAGAATGTGACAGAGACAGAGAAAATGGAGTTGCTGTTAATGGTGATATTCTGATAGAGAGGTAAGGAGGGGAGTTCTATGCCATGCTGAGCATCTCTTAACTTTGCATATTAGATTCATCTAGTGGACTTGCAGGAAAAATACCAATGCCCTAAACTGATGATTCTCAAATTTTACTGTACTTATAAAACACGGAGGAATCTTGTTAAAACACAGACTCTGATTTAGTGGGTTGGGGTGGGGGCTGGGATTCCGCAATTCTTAATGCCAGTGCTGTTTTAAGACCATTTTTTGTTTTTGTTTTTGTTTTGAGAAGAAGTCTCACACTTTTGCCCAGGCTGGAGTGCAGTGGTGTGATCTCAGCTCACTGCAACCTCCGCCTCCCAGGTTCAGGCGATTCTCCTTGCCTCAGCTGGGATTACAGGCACCTGCCACCATGCCTGGCTATTTTTTTTTTTTTATTTTTTTTTATTTTTAGTAGAGACGGCTATTTTGTGTGTGTGTGTGTTGGCCAGGCTGGTCTCAACTCCTGACCTCGTGATCCACCCGCCTTGGCCTCCCAAAGTGCTGAGATTACAGGCGTCAGCCACCACGCCCAGCCAAGACTATGTTTTGAGTAACAAAGCATTAGATGAATAAGAACTTCTGGGGATGAGAACAGCATTGGTATTTTCCTTTTTTTAAGTTCCACAAGTAATTCTAATGTATAATGAGAATTGAAAACTGCTGCTGTACGTTAGGAAATAATCAAAGAGATTCAGTGATTTGATCAGGTACACATACTTTTCATCATTTATTGTGGCAGTGATGTAGAGAATGGATTGGAGAAAAATTAGAGGAGGAAGACCCATCAAAACACTAAAGTTCAAGCAAGAATTGATGAAGGTCTAAACTAAGATAGTGGTAATGGCCATAAAAAGGATGCTTAAATATAAAATCAACAGGACATGGTTAATGACGAGAAGGGGAGAGTTTGCTAGGTGGTAAACTTTCTCCTGTACTTCTGGCTTGTATAACTAGCGGTGCTATCAACCAATATGAGAAACCAAACATGAGTATAGCATTGCGAAGAATATGACCAACAGTTTATTCAATAGAACTTAGTGGGATGAAAAATAGGGATTCTGATAAAGCTACAGCTTCTGCTCACTCTTTTCCATATTAACATTTCATATAAGAAAACACTCAACAGAGTAAGTCTAAACAGTTCAATAATGCCACCACCTCCCAAAGAGAGGCCCTCATCATTTTTGTTTAAAGACCCAATTTTCTGTATTCCTCAGTAGCTACCAAATGTCCTTGCTCACTTTGATTGTTGGTGATAAATTAAACACATTCTAATACTTATGAACTGCAAAAATAGCACTACTGAACCATTTTGCAACAACTGAGTATGTCATGCCTCATTACTTTTTTTTTGGTGGGGGAGGTGCGGGGACGGAGTCTCACTCCATTGCCCAGGCTGGAGTGCAGTGGTGTGATCTCAGCTCACTGCAACCTCTGCCTCCCAGGTTCAAGCGATTCTCCTGCCTCACCCTCCCAAGTAGCTGGGACTACAGGCGTGTTCCACCAAGCCCAGCTAATTTTTTTTGTATTTTCAGTACAGATGGGGTTTCACCATGTTAGTCAGGATTAACTCTATCTCCTGACCTTGTGATACACCCACCTCGGTCTCCCAAAGTGCTGGGATTACAGGCGTATGAACGAGGAAGAAAAAGGAAAAGAAGGACTCAGAGGTGATAGCTCTGTGAGACTTGTTGATATATGTGTCATGGTGGTAGATAAGATAAAGGCTGAGTTTCTGAAACTTTACATTTCTGTCAATACCAAGAGGAATTGGGGAATGGGAAGATTTTTTAAAAACTTTTTTTTTTGCTTCATTTTTGATGAATTAGGGCTTCAAAGACTCCCGAGGCCTTGAATCTCACATTGGGGCCCAAGAACATGGAGGGTTTGTGGGACATCTGTCTAACTTTGCCAAGACATGGTGCCTGATGCTGGTCACATCTCTCTTTTCTTTGGGCTTGGTTATAGATTCACACATGCATTTCAGACATGTAATTCCTCTGGAAATCTCATAAATGTATTGCCAGGTGTGAAAGCCCTGGGCTATAAAGCATAAATTAAAAGCAAACATCAAAATTATAGGAATGTGACTCAAACGTTTTTCTGAATTCACAGTGGGTGCCATCAGTTGCTGCAACAAAACAGCATTCTCTTCATAGTTTATAGGTGCTTTGAAGTGACACTGTTCAATATTTTCAGAGACAGCATCTCACCTTGTTCATTGGCATGTGTCTCTCTATTGGGCTCTTCAAAACTTCTTGTTTACTTTGTTTTTTTAGCAGTAGCTACTCTTGCCAAGGTAAAGCAGGAAATTCCCAGGTTACTGGCATAATTAACTCAGAAGCAGAATTTCTGGTTCGTCTGTAATTTGGTAAAATTTGTTCCCTGTTTGGAAGGGGTGTGCACCATAATATCTTCTGTCCTGGGATAAAATGACAGCAAATTCTTTAAATAGATATCCAAGCCTCCACTGGCTTCTTCCTCTTCTGTGTCCCCAAAACATTTCAGGTTTGGGATGTTGCAGAGATCACATGCCATTGAGCTTCAGAGTTGATAACATAAACTGGGTATCCCAATCTATACCATTTTCAGTGTAAAAAGTCTGCAGGCTTGGATGTAGAGAGGAATTAAATGAAAATGGGATGCCACAATACACCTACTTGTGGGACACAATTTCTTTCAGTTCAGTCCCTGGAGAGCAGCATAGTTTCACTGCTTTCTCTCCCAGTGGTGGGAGTACTAATAGTACTGCAGGTGGCACTCGAGATGAGAAGACCAAGCCCTGTAGCCAGGATGTGTGTTCTTCTGAAACTAGGCCTCATAAAACTTAAAAAATTAGCACCAGGTGGCCCTAGATAGGGTCCCACCCTGCCTCGATAGGGTCCCACCCTGATAGGGTCCCACTCTGCCAATTCTGGGAAACAACCTCATGGGGTCCCACCCTGCCAATTCCGGGGGTCCCACCCTGCCTCGAAGTTCCCAGAATTAACAACTCCAGGAAAGAACCTCATAAGGTCCTGCTCTAACCAATTAAAACAAGACACCTTGCTCAGGCCATAGCTAGACCCAAGTATTTTGCGCCTTAAGCTTTGTTTGAATTTCGCGCCATAAGCTGTGTTTGAACTTGTGTTTGCCTATATAAACAGCCTGTAACAAGCAGTCGGGGTCCCAGGGCCAACTTAGAGCTTGGGACCCTAGCGCGCTAGTAATAAATAACTCTCTGCTGTGACTCCCGTGTCGGGTGTTCCTTCGCGGCGACCCCTGCCCAGGAGGGAATTGACAGCTCGGTTCCTACACTTCAAGGCAAAGGATTCTGCTCGTCCCTTATTCTCCTCCCTGGAGGACCAGAAAGCAATACCATTTTACAAGACTAGGAAAGTATCACAGTTCCTCAAAGCAGGAGATTGTCTCCAAGTGGGTGCCCTTGGAGAAAGGTACAATTTGCGCCCCGAAATTTGGGGAAACAGGGATGATTTATGAGCTATGACTCTAAAGGTCAACCACGGTTCAGCTGAGTGTGATATGAACTCTCTCCTGGGTCCCATAAAGCCACATGGGGTGCGACTGAAGCCTGGTGAGATGCTGAGAAAACAGCTTTTGGAGGGTTTATTTTTGGTGTGTTTGACCTTTTTGTAATTCTCCACAGTCACAGTCTAGTTCTCAGATACCTTTTGTGTTTCCAGAGGATTCCACCTCAATCCCCAGATCTGCCTCTCTAGCCTGCCTCACTGGCTTTCGTATCTCAAATTTATGGGCTTAGCGACCTGGCACTTCTCTTCACTCACCACTTGACTTGGTGCCTTGCTAGTGAGTGGTTTCTTTGTCATGAGTGGGCTGTTTTAGCATAACAGAGAGCTCCTTTTTGAAAGGGAACAATTTTACGTCTGAAAACACAAATTTAGGCTAGATGTGGTGGTTCACATCTCTAATTCCAACACTTTGGGAAGCCAGGGCAGGAGAATCACTTGAGGCCAGGAGTTTGAGACTAGCCTGGGCAACACAGCAAGACCTCATTTCTACAAAAACAAATCTAAAAAATTAGCTGGGTGTGGTGGTGCATGCTTGTAGTCCTAGCTACTCAGGAGGCTAAGGTGGGAGGCTCCCGTTGAGCCCAGGACTTTGAGGCTACAGTGAGTCATGATTGTGCCACTGCACTCCTGCCTGGATAACAGAGAGAGACCCTGTCTCTTAAAAAAGAAAAGAAAACACAAGTTTATAGAACTACAGACTATCTTTATCAGTCATAGAATGTTTTCTTTGATATTTTTTATCTTTCTCAAACATTCTGAAATCTTTCTACAATATTTTTGTCACAGACTATTTCATTCAACAAGGACATAGGAAAATCAAGACAGATAAGGAGACTAGATGTAGTTGAGTGCTCACGGGGCCAGCATTGGACCAGGCCAGGTCGGGGATTCAGATGAGGGAACCACATGCGTGGCAGGAGTGTGGCAGTGAGTAAAACCCAATGGAGAAGAAGGCTTGAGATAAACCTAGAAGAATGAGGGCAACTGAGGGCATTCTAGGTAAGTGAAGCAACAGCGAACACATGCATAGTGCATTCTGGAGATTTAGTAAGGCTTGTGTCTGGACTGGATCTGATAATTCACAGTGTGTAGTAGATGATAATAAGAGAGTAGAAAAACTCCTAATTAGTAAATACGAAGAATTCAAATTTGGGATTTTAAGAAATTATAGACCATTGAATTTTATTTTTCTCATAGAATTTTAAAATCCTATCACCTGTTTTATTTGTAGAAGTAAAAAGAGAAAGAAAAAATTCCTTTAAATTTAAGTCAATGAAATTGGAAGCACCAATTTCAACAAAGCAAGAAACTGTGGCTCTGTTTAAAAAAAAAAAAAAAAAGGAAGGAAGCAACAGTTTTAAACTCTTAAGCTTCCTCCAATTCAAAAAGAAATGCTGAAGCTTTCTGGTTTGGAAATTGAAGAGCTTACTTTTTCCCTAAGGCAATATTATCCACTTTCATGGGG